ATTAAATGCTATCGTAATAAATTCAGGAAGCAATAGGAAGCGGATCTTTTGGAAAAGTTTATAAGGGAAGCTATCGAGGCAAAGTTGTGGCAATCAAAAGGTAGGAAACCTTGTCTTAGATTTCTTTTCTTTCTGATTTTGCACAGAAAATCAACAAATTTTATTTTCATTCAGATACCGAGCTGCTGTTTATGGTTGTAAATCCGAAGTGGAAATGCTTTGTCGCGAAGTTTCAATACTATCAAAATTGGCTCATCCGAATGTAGTGAGCTTTGTCGGTGCAGTTTTGGATGATCCGAGCGTGAGTTGCCAAGCCTTCCTTACTGATTTGTTCTTTAGAAGAAACTGTTGTTCCAGCAATTTGCGATTATCACAGAGTTTGTCAGCAATGGTTCATTGTTCTCACTTTTGCATGAGCAAAAACGGTAAAAGCATTCATTTATAAGAATTTTTACTGCATTCATAATCTCATGCCTCGTTTAGTGTTCTGGATCCTCCATTTCGCCTTAGGATATCATACGATGTAGCCCAAGGCATGCGGTATTTGCATGACAGTGCGGCAAAACCTGTGATTCATAGGTGAGTTTTTTCATTTACCATTCAGGGCCTCAAAACAGCTGATTTCATGAAAAAATCCTAAAAAGCTTTGGTTTGCGCAATTTTTTCATTATGCGCAGCCCTTTCAGGGTTTTCCCTAAAACTCCAAGAAAGTTTGGCAGATTTTAGGGACTTGAACAGCCACAACATACTGATTCATCTTGATGGTCGTGCGGTAGTTGCTGATTTTGGTGAAAGTCGTTTCATGTGCCAAACGGAGGAGGAGAATATGACAAAGCAGCCAGGAGTTAGTGTTTTCTTGTTTGTCTCGGAATATAAGAAAGACTGCCTTAAATAGAAACTTTTCCGCAAACTTGCTAAATGTTGCATACGAAAATGCTTCTTTTTGTTATAATTGAAAACGAAAAGCTGTTTCTACCACTTGTTAAGATTTACTAAGCCAGAAACTAGAAAATCTTTTTTTTTTTT